TGGGGGGGGTTGATGGTTACGGTCACAGGAGATGGGAGGGATCTGAAGAAGGTGCGGGTTGCTTTGGGCCCGGCTACCTTTGCTGGAAGGATCATGTGCTCCGGAAAAGGATCTTTTTTGTTGTTTTGTTTTAGCCCAGAACAGAGAAGGTCTACTTCCGTTAGCACAGGCTGATGCTTTCCATTTTGCTTTGCTTATACTTCATTGACTCTCACAACCCCGGTAGTTGACGATTGGGATCCGTGCCCTCTCCTAGATTCACCAGTGAGGAAACTGAGGCTCTAAGGGGCAGAATCATTTGCCCACGATCTGTAGCACCTCGGTGACAAAGCCAGCTCTCTTCCTGTTATTCCCAGTTGACCCCAATTCAGGGAGACCCCACGTGTATCGGACTAGGACTAGGCGCCATTGGGTTTTCAATATGGAGGTTTGTGCATAAGGAGATGCCCAGGCCTTTCCAATGCGTATCTGGATGAACCCGAACCTGAACCTCCATCCTCCCAGTTAGACACCAGACACCGGTGCCCAGTGCCTCCTGAAAAAGCAATACATCACTGAACACTAACCCTTCTGTTCCATACCAACTGGAGGGTGGAGACAGCCTCGTTTCTCTTCGCACTCCCAGGTCTTTGTAGCGGAGTGCAGTATTTGAACTCAATCCAGAACTCTTCCGATCGAAGTCCCCCAAAGGTCCTAGGCTTCGCGTTGCTATAAGAATAGAAACGAGGCCTCTGACCAGTTCGAGACCCCCAGCTCCAAGACCAGAATTCATTCTGCTCTCAAGCCAGCCGGAAGGACCGCTTGGTTCCCCACTGGCCGGGGCTGTCTAATTCTCTTAAATGATTCAGATGTAAAAGAGAAAATGGCATCTGTTTAATTAGCACTGCCTGGTTAAATATAGCTGCCAGGGGACAGCTCCGGGACACTGTTTACAGAAGAGTCTTTCCAGCCCCTCGGGCCTCGAGTGAGAGATGAGAACTAGTCCTCCATCCTTATCAACCGGAAACAGATACCCCCCAAAGAGAGCCAGGCCAGCCTAGGCTCTGGGAGATGAAAAGGAGGAGAGAAAGGCTGGCATTGGTCTGGGGAATCAGAGGATGGCCCCTGGAACCAGAGCCTCCAGGCTCCCTGCTGCCCTTCTACCAGCAGACACAATGACCACATTCTTTTCCTTCCAGCTTCACCTTACAACATGGAAGCCGTGGCCAAGTTTGACTTCACCGCCTCCGGTGAGGACGAGCTGAGCTTTCACTCTGGGGATGTCCTGAAGGTAAGCGACATCAGGCCCCGTGACCGGAGGGAGGGCACCACCGAGTTCATCTAGTGGTGGACGACACCGTTGTCTCTTCCAAACCACACACGGTTCCTTGTCAGCCTTGGAGGTGGGTCTGGCGGCGGTCCGCGCCACCCAAAGGGTTCCTGGGTAACAGACGGGTGGGGCTGGGGAGTGGAAATGCAAACACAAGGAAGCCACCATTCTTCTCTCCAGGTGTTTGTGGTCGGGAGGGGAGGTGGGTGGGGAACAACTTCAGGCCAAGAACTGTTAGCCAGGCACCGCCCAGGGGAGGGAGACGGTGATCCCCCACCATCACCACTAAATGTGGAACCAGGTCAATGTCAGCGAGTGCAAAGAAGGGTGTTGGGGCTTTTCCGATGAACTCAGCATGCAGACAGAGAAAGGGCCTGGTGAATTGAGGTCATGAGGTGCAGCATGGCACCTACTGGAGAAGGCAGCTGGAGGACAAGCGGTCCCACCAAGACTGTGAGTTCTCAAGTGGCTTAAACTTGCACTTGGGTTGTAGGGGCCACTTGTTGAGCTGAAGAGGGCTTGTCCTCCTCCCTTGGCTCACGCAGCACCCTGATACTTTGCATCTTTGCCCTTACATTTTGCAAAAGAGCAAACAAAGGCCCTTCATGAACCTATTAGGGAGTATGGGGTGCCAGTGCCCCCGGGCCTTGCTTCAGAGCTGGGGTACCATGCTCCCTGGGCTCAGCAGCCCAGCAGGGTCTTCTCAGACTGCCCAGGGGCCTTAAGACCACCACAGTCTCATCATGGAAAGTTCCACTTGCCACAGAAGAACCTTCTTGGCCTGAGAAAAGACGACTCAGAAAGTGTCCAAACAGCACAGACCTTGCAGAACAACCTGTTTCAAAAGCAGACCAGCCCGGTTTGGAACCTTCTAGCGCTTCTCAACTTGCAACATCTACTCATGGGGTTGCCAAGGGCTTGCCTTCGCTGGGGAAGCCTCACAAGGTCGAAAGATTCATCAGGTTACTGGCGACCCACCCAGGAAAAGCGGCTTAGTGCCTTGGGATCTTACCAAGGTCACAGAGCGAAGGTCCCACGTTGAGACATCCCGTCCTTCTCTGGTGGGTCCTGTGACCATTCGATGGATTAGCACCCCACTGGGGCATCTTCCATTGCAAATAGAATCTCTTATCTCGTGGTGTTTTTTCCCTACTCTGCAGAAAAAGAACAGAAATGGGGGGGGCGGGGGGATGGGTTCACCTCTGGTTCCCATGCCAGTTCCCAACATCTTGTCTCTCCTTCATGGCCAATGTTGAGAAGCCTCCTCTACACCGTGTCCTCCACCTCCTGCCTACCCACTCTTCTCCACTAGACGCTGCCTTTGATCCCCAACACTCTCATACAGTCCACCCGGGAGTTCCCTGATCCAAAAGATACTGACCGTTGTCTTCATCTGACTCAAGTGCCTGCAGGCTTTGGCACCCTTGACGGCTCCTCGCTGCTCCTTGAAGGTTTTGCTTGCTTGGGCAGTGCTGCAACGTTGGTTCTCTTCCTCCTTCCTGAAGATACCTCACCTCTTCTGAGAGCGCTTCTCGCCCTCTTTCTATCCTGATACACAAGCTGCGCTGCAGGCATTGCCCTCAGCTTCCTGACGTTACCCTCTCTTTGAGCCAGCCATATCTCCGGCTTCCACTCTTAGCTTTATACCAAACGGAGGCCCTCCAGTCTATGGTTCTTGCTCCAGCTCCGACCTCCTGCTCTTGAACCCCAGACCCACACATTTTTTAACAGTCTGCTGAGTGTTCTCATGGGAACCCCCACTGCAGTAGACTCAATTCTGACTCAGAGCGACCCTCCTGAGGGGTTCTGAGATTGTAGATCTTTATGGAAGCCGATAGCCTCAACTTCCTCCCAAGGAGCGCCTGGTGGGTTTGAACCACCAACCAGCTTTGCAATGAGCCCGTCTAATGCTTACCCATCAGTGCCACCAGGGCCCCCTCACCACGTGGATACCAGCTCCTAACTCAGGATGTCCAGAATCAAGATCAATCTCCAAAATGCCCGCGCAAATGGAATTGGAAAAATGCGGTCATGCGTCCATGACCTTTGGGAAGCTCCTTCATCTGAACAGATGGGTGGTTTGAGGTCTGTAGGAGGGAGAGTTAGAGATCTGCTCCTGAGGAGACACCAACCGAGGGGATGGGGCGGTTCTGCTCTGTCACCTAGAGTCGAAAATCAAGTCAGCAGCATTTAACAACTGTGTGTGTGTGTGCGCGTGTGTGTGCGTGCGCGCATGCGCGCGCACTCTCCTCTTCTTCCCTACCAAACAGCATAGTGCAGTGGAAAAGAGCAAGCTGGGGAAGTCAGATAGACTGACAGTCAGGCCAAATCCCAGCTTCTTGGTTGTGTGACCTTGGGCTAGTCGCTTGAGCATCCCTGAGCTTCAGCGCCTTCCTCTCTGCATGGGGTAGACTCTGGCGGGCTGTGGGAAGGATTGGAGGTGATTGACTTGGCCCGGTGTTGGGGCCGGATCCTGCTCACCATTATCCATCCCTGCTGCCTCTGACAGTACAGACGGCTGCCACAGCCCTTAACTGACCTCTCTGCTTCCTGTCTCTTCCTTCTTCTCCATACTAGTCCCAGAGGGAATCCTTCTAGCAGACAGATCTGATTGTATCATCTCCTTTGCTCTAAAGCATTCTTTGTGTCCCTATTACCAATTGCTTAAAACCTAACCCATCTGACCCCAACTCAGTGTCCAATTTATCTCTCTCTCTCTCTCT